GCCTTAATATGAGGAACAAAAAATATTTATATTTTAACATGTCAGCTGCTGTTTAGCTGAGCTGGTCACATCAGATATTGATAACTCTTGAGCGTTTTTTCTTATTGAAACAACCTTTTTTCTCCTAATTTGACCATTTCCTTCTGTTAATTATATTATGACAATATTCTTTTAATATAACTTTATTCTGGTACAACTTTAGTCTTGTAATTTTCATATAAAAACAACTTAGTCTGGCCCTACTTTGTCTGTCAAACTAAAAACAGCTTCTAAAGAAATTTTAAAGTTGATTACTGTAGAAAATATAGTGATAGATTAATTTGAAATTCCAGTTAAATTCACATCTATTTTAACTGCTTTCTTTTTCAGAATAACAGTGGCTCTGGCGGCAACAAGTCATATACAGCAAAAGGTGAAGATCAGCCCACAATTCAGCAAGCATTTAATAAGCAAGTCACCTATGCACCCACATCAAAGCATGCTAAAGACCTTAACAGTMCAGTGGCATACTTCATTGCCAAAGACATGATGCCATTTCAAGCTGTTGAGAAACCTGGGTTCCTGAAGKTGATGAAGACGGCAGTTCCACTTTACAAAGTGCCATCAAGAAAATTTTTCTCAACTAATGAAATCCCCAAGATGTACTCAGAGGTCAAGGCTCATGTGCAAAAACAAGTGGCAAAAGGGGTGTGGTTTTCTGCAACAACTGATCTGTGGACTAGCAGTGGTGGTAGTGGAGAACCTTACATCAGCTTCACTGTGCATTTCCTCTCCCCAGAGTGGGAACTCAAGTCCTTCTGTCTAGAAACTATGTTTTTCCCAGAGGACCACACAGCTGAACACATCTTGGAGTTTTTTGAAAACATGTTGCTGGAGTGGAACATGACAAGTGGCAGTTTGTCTTCCATCACAACAGACAATGCAACAAATATGAAAAAAGCATTTCAAGACCAACCTTATGTTTGGCTTGGGTGTTTTGGCCATAATCTTAACCTTAATTTAATTTAATCTTAATTTGCACTAAGAGAAATGTATAGTTAATCTCCAAAAGCGTTGAGATTGAATTTTAAGTTCCTGTCTATTTATTTTTTTTAAGTTTAATTTAAGGATTGCATCAAGGACTGCATTTATTTTTATTTAAAAGTAATTCAGTTAATATTTTAAATTCATATTTAACTTGTTCAGTTTGGTCCATGTTTTATATAT